TTGGTCAGGCTGGTCTCGAACTCCTGACCTCAGGAGATCCACCTGCCTCAGCCTCCCAAAGTGCTAGGATTATAGGCGTGAGCCACGGTGCCCAGCCATTTTTTTTTTTTTTTTTTTTAATGAGACTACTTACATGGTGTTGTGTATTTCCATGAGGAACATCGTAATGCCTGCTTGTCTCTCATTTTGTGATGTTTGTAGCCATTGTGCCTCAAAAAAGAATTGGTTCCTGGCCAGACGCAGCGGCCCATACCTGTAGTCCCAGCACTTTCGGAGACCTAGGTGGGTGGGTCACCTGAGGTCAGGAGTTCGAGACCAGCCTGACCAATATGATGAAATCCCATCTCTACTAAAAATACAAAAATTAGCTGGGTGTGGTGGCAGGTGACTGTAATCCCAGCTACTTGGGAGGCCGAGACAGAAGGATTGCTTGAACTCAGGAGGTGGAGGTTGCTGTTAGCCAAGACCACGCCACTGCACTCCAACACTCCAGCCTGGGTGACAAAGCGAGACTGTGTCTCAAAAAAAAAAAAAAAAATCCTCCCATCTCAGCCTCCCGAGCCGGGTAACTGGGACCACAGGTGCACACCCCCATGCCCAGTTACTTTTTAAAAATTATTATTATTATTTTTGAGACAGAGTCTCACCCTGTTGCCCAGGATGGAGTGCAGTGGTGTGGTCCCAGATCACTGCAACCTCTGCCTCCCAGGTTCAAGTAATTCTCCTGCCTTAGCCTCCTGAGTAGCTGGGATTACAAGCGTGGGCCACCATACTTGGCTAATTTTTTTTTTTTTTTGAGCAGAGTCTCACTCTGTTACCCAGGCTGCAGTGCAGTGGCACAGTCTTGGCTCACTGCAACCTCCTCCTCCCAGATTCAAGCAATTCTCCTGTCTCAGCCTCCCAAAGAGCTGGGACTAAAGGCACACACCACCATGCCCGACTACTTTTTGTATTTTTAGTGGAGACGGGGTTTCACCGTACTGGTCAGGCTGGTCTCAAACTCCTGACCTCAGGTGATCCGCATGCCTTGGCCTCCCAAAATGTTGGGATTACAGGCGTGAGCCAGTGTGCCCAGCCTAATTTTTGTATTTTTAGTAGAGATGGGGTTTCACCATGTTGGCCAGACTGGTCTCAAACCCCTGACCTCAAGTGATCTGCCCACTTGAAGCCTCCCAAAGTGCTAGGATTACAAGCATGAGCCACCGTGCCTGGCCTTAATTTTTGTTAGAGACAGGATCTCCCTATGTTGCTCAGGCTGGTCTTAAACTCCTGGGCTCGGGTGATCCACCCACCTCAGCTTCCCAAAGTCCTGGGATTACAGGTGTAAGCCACCATGCCTGGCCTGTACCAAAGAAATCTTTGCCTAGTCAAAGGTCATAAATATTTTCTCCTATGTTTTCTAATAGAAATTTTACAGTTTTAGGTTTTACGTCTAGGTCTCTGATCCATTTTTAGTTAATTTTTGTTTGGTATGAGATATTGAAGGTTTTTTTTTTTTTTTTTCTTGTATTTGGATATTTAATCATTCTAGTACATGGAACTCTGTTTTTGTTGAAAAGTCTATTCTTTCTCTACTAAATTGCTTTGTTCATGTTTGTTGAAAATCAGTTCATATGTACACAAAATGATTACCTTTTTTCTTTTTTCACTCAGTGCAAGTCATGATAAGCATTGTCCACATAGGAAAAAGAGAGTTAAACATGTTGCCGGGCACGGTGGCTCATGCCTGTAATACCAGCACTTTGGGAGGCCGAGGTGAGTGGGTCACCTGAAGTCAGAAGTTCAAGACCAACCTGGTCAACATGGCGAAACCCCATCTCTACTGACCGTAGAAAAATTAGGCTGGCGTTGTGCTTGTGTTTTGTTTTGTGTGTTGTATATTGCAGTGTGTTTGTTTGAACCAGGAGAGAGGTT